ATGGCATGAATTGCAAATTGGTACCAATCAAAGTTTGATCCATCACGTGAAGAGTGCTTAACTGTGCATACCTGTCAGGCACACATTGCTCAGAGCCATACCCGTATAAGGAATGCTCAGTCTGTGATGAAAAGAGAGCAGGTGTTGATCATTGATACTTTGGCTGCAAGAATAGCACAAAGTTCTGGACAAAATTTAAATGGGAACTGTTTGGCCGCTGATCTAGAACCTCACCCCCAGGGAAAGACATGACGTTTGAACACACAATAAAAGGGTTTCTCTTCCCCTTCAAGCACTATATTACCAGCTGGCAATCCACCAGGTCCATAGTACCTGCAGATTGTAAGTAATAGGTCAGAAAACAATCAATGTAAAGAAAATGGTTGGCAGGTGGAAGCACAGTGTATTGGACGCGTTGGAACGCATAAACAAGTTTGGAAAGCTGATTCTGGGAAAGTATCAGACTCGGTCTGCTACAATTGCAAACAGTGAATATATTGAGTATGATTCCATCCTCAAGCGCATACAGCCATGCTGGCGCACACCCAGGTCCCTCCAAGACCTTCATAACTTGGCATAAACTGGCAAGCCAGTATCATTGGGAAAGCTGTCATGATGTCCCTCATTCCCTCCCATTCAATCTGTAATAAATACCTATTGAATCTTTAAAAAAAGTGGCTGAGTCAGTCTAAGGCGCCACATTAAGGCTGTGGTCTCTTTGGAGGCATGAGTTCGAATCTCATCCTGTTCATTTTTATAACTTTTTACTTGCCCTACTGTTGTTTAAAATGATGCATTTTTAAGGAATCTGGTTATCCCATTAAAAGAATATATGTTTTATTATGATTATATTGAAAATCAAACTCATGTACCAGAAATTTTACTTTTTAAAGTATTTATTACATATACTGTGATTGACGAACAGTACAAGTTTGGATAAGAATCCACTGATAGCATTTGTGATAAATTTATTTTAAGTCAAAATAATACATGGAATCTTCAATAGACTGGCGTATCAATTGCTTCCTTTCAGATGATATTTTTATATTTTATTACCTATAAGAAAGAGTTCATAATGCATCTCGCTTTGCTTTAGATAGAGATATATCATCTTTTTCTCAATAGCTGTCATTCCTTTTGTTATAAAGCCCTAAAAGGTTAACGGATACTGATATGAAAAGACCCACAATTTTGTATAATTTTCTCTGGTACCCACTAGCTCCGAAAAATTTACTTTAGCATTAGGCCTTATATAATATTCACTTTAATTTCCCATTAACATTTAAATGATCAAAATGTATGATATATTTAGAGATATCCATATTTCACGTCTAGAGCCGACATTAAGTATGTCCTTGAACTAATTTTATGATGATGAATTTCTAATGGTAAGATTTGAGGATGTTTATGATTACACGAATCATATTATTTACTGAATTGGATAAAATACAATCGATATCAAAGACTATATTAGTTATCTGTTTATTTCAAGATATATTACATGATGAATCAGGGAAAAATAATATGTTGTCAATAGGGGGCTCAGAGGAAGTAAGATTTAGATCAGATACATATGGTTTATTGAAATATCATTTGTTTTATATAGTAAAGGGGTATAAATAAGGAATGTGGTATTGCTCATGGTAATGAGTTGGGTTTTTATTCTGAAAGGGTCACATACAGGAGTAAGAATAAGGTTGTGTCCTCTTAGTCAAGCGGTAATTATAATACCAAAATTGTAAAATTTCTCTATTTGATTGCACATCACAACAATGTATTAAATTTTATAATATTGTAAATATACTATGGACAACAGTTATAAATAAGCAAAAAAATTCATGTCAAAAGGACCAGATATTGTAATAGTTTTTCTACTAACTTAACTCAACATCCAATACCTTGCCCAATTTGGTGCCAAAACAATGGATCCATATTTTTCCCAGTTTGATATCAAACTAATTTCCACACAATCTGTCCAGGTATCCACCCATTATGATTCAAGTCATATAACCTAATGTCAACCACTAATCCCAGTTATGTATCCACCACAATATCTCTAGCTATAAAAGCCTGAATTATTATCTGATAAAATATTATTTTCCAAATTATTATTTAAGCTTCCCCAAAAGCTACCTCCTTGTTACTGGTAGAAGCTACAGTTTTTATCACACCCATGGAACACAAGATAACCAATCAGAAATCACCTACCTTTGCCCAAGTATTGAACCAATTTATGTCTCAGGACACCTGGAAGACATAAAACCCCAATCACAACATTGACAAAGACATCCCAAATGAACATATCAAAATCATTCAGTAAATTTGTTCCCTCCAACCTCAACAAATCAACCAATCACTAATAATAGGTGAAGCTCCTAACATCAAGTACATTGATCTTAAAAAATTCTTTGATAAAAACAAAGAGAACATGATCAACTGGCTCAATCACTGTTGAGCAACTTGGGTTATTGCTGGTATGTTCAAAGCTACATATAGATGGTAGTCTTGCCAATGTACTCTACCTAATCCTATGCAAGAGCACTACAGACTACAATAGAATAGAACATTGAAGATAATTACGTTTATTGAAACTGGAGTACAATCTAGCCAGTGGCTACAATCTATCCAGGTGTAACTAAGAACTTGTTGTCATCCTTTCAGACATCTGTATCAATATACTGCAACAACCCTTGTTCTTGTCCTTTCAGACAGTTCTCAGTGGCTACTTTTGCAATAGGTCCATCTTTGCTGGCTGCGCCTATCCTGATTGATTGTCCTTGGCACATGTGCTGCTACTGGCCTTAGCAAGGTGTACATGGCACTTCAGCTACAGCCTACACTCTTATTGAGCTAGCCTACTGTCATTTATTGATTGGCTGTATCTTACACACCTATTATTGCTCTGGGAAACTACACTGTATTTAGTTGATGCTTAGAAAAGGTCTCTAATCTGTTCTCCTACATTGGAAGGTAGAATCCCGGTATTCCACTTGCAGGGCTTAATCAATGATCCTTTACTGGCTGGTAAGCCTTCTGCTTATTAATGCAACAAGTCAAGTTAAGGATTATATGTCATATAATAGCAGAATTAATCCAATATTGACTCATAAATAATACACTCATGTAATACTGACCCAAACCAATAAGGAACCTGATTATACACTAGGAAATGCTGACCTGAACTTGGTATTTCCTAGCCACATGCACATCACTTGTTTGATATGAACATATACATCCATTAGGCTGGGTGGGACTGAGTTGATGTTAACTGTCCAGTAGGATGGGATGAGCAATATATGATTGACACACAAGATTACACACTCGTGTAATCAATGATAATCACTATATTGGCTACTGTTTTTACGGTGCATATAATAGCAATATCAATTATAATAAAATATTAATATACAGCGTATAATCATTATATATATATAGTAATGATAATCAATGATAATACAGCACATAATTACGCACTTAATAAAATGATAAACCTAGTGATAATATGGTGGGAACTGATAAAGATTCAGGGTAATGATTAGCCTGATCATTTTAGGTCAATCAGCCTAATCTCGTTAATCATCACACTAAATATGACACGCTAGTCATATCTCACAAAAAATGGATTCATGAATCCAGAAAATACCTCCATAAGGCTGCGCCAACTAGTTTGCTACCCAAATGATTCTCAAACAGATAAATATATTGAAAACAGTGAGAAGCTCAAAGATGAAATTACTCATAACTTTTGTGTAACTTAATTACCAGCAAATAATCAAATACAGCGCAGTGAACTTCCTAGGAAGACCACCATCACAGCTTATTACAGTAAATGAGAAAATCAGATAGATTCAGAACCTTAACACAAGCAGACAATGTTCACACCTGGCACAACTCATTCATAAACATAATGAATCATCAGTAGTGACAATCATTTGCCCTGAAGCAAACACTCCATGCCTGTGCTCATTGCTGAAGCCAAACATGCAGAAACACATGCTAATACGGAATATGTAGCACCTAACAGCAACTGCTCATCCAATGGCAACAGGAAGACAACTTCAATGGCAACAAACGCCAGAACACAAATTATATCAAACAAAAATGGTGATAACAGAAATAATGGAACCAAAGCCAGAGCTTCAATTGCTCACATCTTGCTGAAGGAGTAACACTAAAAGTTAATAATGCTGAACAGAAAATTGAAAGGTAGTTTTTAAAGCTATGGTGCTAAACAAAATGTCTCAGATTTAAACAAATTGGACTAATATTTAAGCCAAATTTAGGCCAGACAAGTTTCTGATAGTAAATAATCTAAGTATTTTTTGGTGAACTGGTAAAATTTAAAACAAAAAACATAATTTCACTAACACAAAATACAAAATTACATAAAAAATCAAACAATAGTTCAAACTACAACCAAAATTAATTGAAATAGCAAGTGAAATATATTGAGGCTGTTCTAAAATATATTATAATGCCATATTTGAATTCAGATGAGGCACCAACAAAAGGCTAAAATGAAACAAAATAGAGCAACCTAGAAGCAAGATTTCAAAAACACAAAAACAAAATGAAGTCACACAAGATGTGGGTAGTATAAGTGTATCCTAAAATAGAAAACCATTTTAGCAGACAATCAAATATCTCATCTTAGGAAAAGTGCTATTTTATTGATTTCCTTATGGCTCCTTATTTGTGTATAATGGTCTCAAAAACTTTCCAAATCTGGTCTTGTGATTGCAATAAAAATCAGACTGTAAAACTTTAAAATTATTTTAGAAGTAGATGGATCAATCTTTATTATACAATAGTTTTTGTAAATAATAATAATTTTGGATATTTTTAAATGAAAAGAAGAAGCAGCCAAGAAAGCGCTGTTGGAGAGGGTGAATTTATACATAGAGGCCCTTGTTTACACCTAAAGTATTTTGATGTGGGTAATGATAAATAGCCTATACCATGAAAACTACCCATATATGGATTTGAGTTAGTAAATATTCAACAAAGAGTCTACCCCTGTGCAAGTCCCCTTTCCCAACCACACACCTGGTACTCCACTCTACAAAACAATCATATTGGTAACTCTTAAGTTAGAAAATTTCTGCCAAATAACCATCTTGCTCTCCCTTCATCCAATCAGCTTCTCAGCGTCTGCAGACCAGTGCCCCAAACATAGAATAATCACTGCAATAATATTCAACAGGAACAGGGTACTCAACCAGTGTGGCCTGATCTGGGACCAAATTTCCATCTAATTAAAATTCACCTGAGTTACCATTATGTGGACACAATAACCCAATGAGCAATTAATTGGAAGGCCAAAAGAGAATACAAAAAGCCCAAGTCCTAGATCAACAAAGCATATTCAAATATGCTTGATCTCCTGCAGCAGAATCCTAAGATTCCCCAACTCCAAGTCTGAAATCATCTTGTACACTATGGTATGGTTTAGTGCACATGGTAGCTCTAGATGCATGATAAGTGACATCAATATTGATGTTGGCCAATTTTAACAAGTGACTAAAGAGATGTCAGCGAGGACTAATAACATGATCCTGTTATAGAATCCATCATCCAATGGATGACAAGTTTTTCACGACATCATGCTCATCTAGTACTAAAAATTGTCCATTGCTTTTGACAATTTTGGGGAACAATGAAAATAGAACCAAACTCATTGAATTAAGAAGATAAAAAAGGACTTCTTTATTGGTGAATTTTGGGCTATTTCACCCAGAGAGGTTCTGTCTA